GAGAGAGAGTCCATCGCCATCTTTGTGTGTGTGTGTGTGCGTGAACCAGAGAGAAAGAGAGAGTCCATCGCCATCTTTGTGTGTGTGTGTGTGTGTGTGCGTGAACCAGAGAGAGAGAGAGAGTCCATCGCCATCTTTGTGTGTGTGTGTGTGTGCGCGAACCAGAGAGAGAGAGAGAGAGAGAGAGAGAGAGAGAGAGAGAGAGTCCATCGCCATCTTTGTGTGTGTGTGTGTGTGTGTGTGAGAGAGAGAGAGAGAGAGAGCGAGAGAGTCCAACTTCTTGGCAAACATTCCATTTTTATTGCGGAGAGTCCAACTTCTTGGCAAACATTCCATTTTTCTTGCGTGCGTAGCCGCAACTGGTCCCCTAGTTACCACTTGACTATTTCTCTCCAAGCTGACCGAATTAGTTGACTATTATACTCGGTTGGGTGTCATGTTGAGGTAGGTTTCAGTGTGGATTCTAGTTTAGATCACACACCACTGTAGCTCATGAGTGAAGCAATTAGTAGTGAGGAGGAGGAACGATTAGTGGAAGATCTAAGAGTGACCCGCAAAATTGCTCTCAGTTGGCCGATCACTTTCTAGGAGTTAGGTCCAGGAGAGGAAAGGAGGATGCGGAGGGTGGCATTACGGAGGTCTAGGGCAGCAGCAGCCAGCTTCAAGGCCGCAATGGCTACCGCCTCTATCATGTCACAAGACGTATCCCTGGCCTCTTCGTTAGGAACTAGTCAGGGGGTTTCTCAGGGTTCCGTTAGTTTGTTGGTTCGCAAGTCAGCCAACAGTCTCCTCTCACACCAGAGGATTATGAGATCCTCCAGGCGGAAGCTCTTCATAATGAACTACAACAGCAGTTGAGGGATGCAACAGAGAGAAGGCAAAGGGCGATATTGAGAAAAGCTAGGCTAGGAACCTGGAGGCTGGAGTTAGGGAAGTTTGAAGCACTAGATGAGTCAGCACTGGATCCTGCAATGCAAGCGCTGAGTCGCTCGCTCCTTTGCGTGGCAGAAACGCAAGTTGTCCAGCAGGAAGTGCTGGCTGAACTAGTGGTCGACCAGAACCGAATTTTGGCTGCTCTGCAGGCTCCTCGTCCCATGATGAGGCAGCCTCGGTATTTTGTAGCTCCCCCTTCGGTTGCGGGTCCCACAGTGACGCCGTGGTCGCTAGGGCCCTCTTTCTCTCCTATGTTTGGCATCTCTCCTTCCTGTGGCTTAGCAAAAGTTAGTGGTCCGGTTCTCGGTACTTCTCCAGTACCATCAATGACGGTGGCAGCTACAGTCCCATCGTCAGGACAGGCTCAGGTTAGCATGCAGCAACCTGTCTCAATGGCTATGCAGCCACTGCAGCAATCACCTGGGTGAATCCAACCTATGCTGTGGATGCCCAAGATTCCCTTGGTGAGTCCTAAGCCTTTTTCTGGCGACAGGAAAAAGGATGAGGACCTGGACACCTGGGTGAGAACTGTGCCTACCTATGTGAGGCACAAGCTCACGAGGCCAGAGCAGGAGGTTATAGTCGTTGCCTCCTTTCTAGAGGGTGTGGCAGCACGATGGTTAAATGGCATAGTGCAGCAACAGGGCTACGGTCCAAATTTTGATGTCTGGGCCCAGGCCGAGATATTAGAGGACTTCTTACGGACTGTGTACAACAGGTGGCATGACCCTCAAGGGGCTCAAAAGGCCACCGACGCAATAAACAGTCTCGGTTCAAAACGACACGGGACTCTGCGGGAAGTCACAGATGTCGTAGAACGTCTGATCGTAGTGCTTTGTGTACGCTATGACCCGTAGGTACTCCTCACAGCTTATCTGAGATGTTTGCCAACAGATGTCAAGACGAGGCCAACATCGATGTCCATAACTTCGCTACTTTTAGCAAGAAAGCCTTAGATATAGAGTCAAACAGATGGTAGGACAAAGAAACTTCCCCAAGATTGGAGGAAGAAGGGCAATCTCCTGTTCGTCGACCATGATGGTCATGCGACTGAGATTGACGACTTCTTTGACTGTGGGGAAGATGCATAGCAGGATGGGGCTAGTGAGACTTCGGATGGGGGAGTCGTAGCTCCAATTAAAGAAAAGGCTAGGGGGACCGGGAAGCAAACGGTAGGCCGGTCCAAGGGTCAGGGCGACCAAGGAACACCCGCACGGGTAAAACTTGGTTTAGATTACAAGGTGTGGAGGGACCGAGTTGTTAGGGGTACCTGTCTGAACTGTGGCAACTATGGCCACACGTCCAGAACATGTCGAGGCAAAAAGGTCACAATGAAGGTAGCCTCTCCAACGGTGGTGGGCTTATCTTCAAACCCTGGTGGTGCTTCTGTGAGCACTGCACAGGGAAACACCTCGGGCCAATAGGAGTGTTCGCCGCTCTTCCTCGTGCTGAAGTGGTAACGTTGCCTTCACCACTTCAAGTGTTGGCCAAGGCTATTGACCCATTTATCACCCCACAGACACATTCTGACCCACCGATTCTCTGTTCGAGAGATGTATCTGAGTCCTTAGAAGAGTTACAAACTGAGTAGTCAGGGAAGGACCCCAGAGACTCTTGGGCTAGCAAAGGTCATAGGGGTGAACATTTCCTAGTAGAGGTTGATGTAGGTGGCTGCAAAGTGGGCGCCTTCGCAGACATAGCCTCTACACGGAACTTCATCAGTCGTGCTTGTGTGGACAGACTGCACTTAGGGGACCAAGTGCAACAACTGAGCAGATCTTTAGCATCTACGCTAGCCAACAAGCACAATATGGTTGTCCAACACTATGTCAAGGACGTAGTCTGCACGTCCTATGGAGGAGGGGAACTGAGACACAAGATCTCGTTCCTTGTCAGCGATGAACTGCCATTCGATACGCTACTAGGCATGTACTACCTCGAGGTTGTTGAACCTCAATTCAATTGGGATACGAAGGTGATGATCCACAAGTTGCCTAATGGAAGAACAGTTAGACTGCAGAAGCTCAAAGCTAGCAGGCTAGTGGAGAACTATGGCTGCATGTGTGCATCTTCTTTCTATAACTATTATAAGTAGAATTGTGAGGAGGGCATGTACCTAGTCTTTGTCGCTGAGAAAGGGGAAGCCGTAAAATCACCCCCGGAGATGGAAGCGGTCGTTTCTCAGTATTCAAACAGTTTTGAGGGGCCCAGTGGTGTGGTGGAAAGGGAGGTTGTCCATGCCATAGAAGTCGTCCCGGGTAGCAATGTACCTAGAGGACAGATCTATAGGATGTCTCCTGCGGAGTTGGATGAGCTCTGCCGCCGGCTTAAAGAGCTCACAGAGAAGGGATGGATTCGGCCTAGTACCTCCCCTTATGGTGCTCCAGTCCTATTCGTTCCTAAGAAGGGAGGTACCCTAAGGATGTGCATTTACTATAGGGGCCTTAATGCCATCACCGTTAAGAACGCGGAACCCGTATCCGGCATCGACGACCTCTTGGATAGAGTGCAGGGATATCGGTACTTCACAAAGATAGATATGAAGTTCGGATACCATCAAATTGCCATTAGACCTGAGGACCAGCACAAAACTGCATTCCAGACCAGGTATGGTCTGTACGAGTTTGTGGTGATGCCCTTTGGTCTATGCAATGCACCTGGGACATTCCAGCACACAATGAATCTTATTTTTCATGATTATGTATCGTCGTGTACCACGATGATATCCTTATCTTTAGTAAGACTGTAGAGGAGCACGCTGAACACTTGAAAACAATGCTAGGTCTCCTAAGGCAGCACCAGTACAAGGTCAACTTGGAGAAATGCGAGTTCGGTCGCACCAAGATCTTGTACCTGGATCATGAGCTTTCCGCAGATGGGTTGAGGCCAGACGATGCCAAAGTGGCCAGCATACGTGACTGGCCCAGACCTCAGACTATTACTGAGGTTTGGTCGTTTTTGGGGATGACGGGCTACTATCGTCCGTTTGTCAAAAACTTTAGTAGTGTAGCTTCCCCATTAACCGACCTAACCCGCCTTGACACGCCTCGGGAGTGGACCGAAGAGTTTTAAGCACGCTCCAAGAATTGAAGTATGCCCTGACACACTGAAGTCATCAAACTTCCGGATCCTGAGCAACCCTTTGTAGTGACCACAAACACCAACCAATATGGCATAGGCGCGAACCTTGTGCAAAAGGAGGGGAAAAAGTTGAGGCCCATCGAGTACATGAGCAAGAAGATGCCATCTCAAAAACTAGTCAAGTCCACGTACGAGCGAGAGCTCTATGCCCTCTATAGAGCGCTAGTCCATTGGAGGCACTACCTCCTAGGCAGATTCTTCTATGTGAGATCTGACCATGAGACCTTGCGCTGGATCAAGACACTGCCAGTACTCTCACATGCCCGAAAGAGGTGGATTGAAGTCATAAATATGTACGACTTCAAACTTGGCCCTCTAAAGGGGGAATACAATAAGGTGGTTGATGCACTATCGCGTAGGGCAGATTATCTGGGAGAGCTAATAACGGAGTTTGGTATATCTGTCGATGTAACTCGATCTTTGGTGGAAGCCTATCGGCAAGACACAATTATGTCAGAAATCATTCGTAAGTTAGAAGCGAAAGATAAAGTAACTTCTGATGAATTTACGGTGGTCAATGGCTCGCTGTTCCTTGAAAAGGCTGGGATTGTGTTCCAGATAGGGAGTCTTTGCGTAGTTTATTTTTAGGTGATGCAACTGGTCATTTCGGCTGTTATGATCCTGGCCAATTTCAAAGTATACATTCATCAGAAAGTACAATGTCGTCCAATTGCAAAAAGAAATGAATGAACTTGAGAGGAGAGAGAGGGAAAGAAGAAGAAGAAGAAGAAGAAGAAGAAGTAAGAAAGAAGAAGAAGATGATGTACTCTAGCATAGACCAATGACAAGGCTCTTCTTCTTCGTTAACCAATCTCCTCCTCCTTATCTCCTCCCCTCTTATTCAAACAAGAAATAATAATAATAATGTTGAATGGCTGAACCAGAATAGATGTCTGAATCCCACTTCTACTGCAGGCACAACATGAGGTCCACCATAGCCATGGCCACCCTTCCTCTTCCTCTTCATATAGGCCAAGGCTATGGCGGAGCATTGAGGGTTCTACCCTCCTGTCCAAAGGACAACCCAAAGCAGCTATGTCGCTGCTCTCTTGTCCCGAGGTCAACAACAGGCAGCTATGCCGCTGCCCACTCAACCACCATGCTTGACTCTATCCCGAGCTTCCTTGATGCGGCGCTACCCCAACTGGGGCCTTCCAGATGCAGTGCCTAACAAGGTGATGAAGATGGTGTCCACTATAGCCAGGTAGGTACCTCGCCACTCTCCTACTTGGTGTCCTTCTCCCTCCTCCTCGTACCGGTAGAGCTCCACCATAGCCAAGGTGGAAGCTCCCGGCTTCTTCCTCCCAGCAGCGTTGTAGCAGCCAGCGCTCTTCCAACCAACGCTCCAGCAGCGTGACGCCCAACTCGCACACTGAAGAATGAGGCCGAGCTCTTCCCTCGGCCTCTTGATATAGCGGCCTGCTTGCCTCCTGGGCGGTGACTTCCAGGCCGCTCAGCCTCCCAAGCAATTGGTACCTCCTCCCTTTTGGAGGGAAACATCATTGCAGATTCTGATACTGCCCATACAGGCTCTAGACTCAGACTGGATGGACTGGTACCGGCCTAGACCTAGCCTACTGCTACTGGGCCTCTAAAAATGCCAACTTTGTCTTCTTCTGCTCGGCCTCGAGTACCCGACACATCTACTGCTACTGGGTGCGGTACCGGCGCTGCTCTAAGCACCATGGGCCCCTGGCTCCACTACTTGAGTGTTTTCCCTGCTGTAACCCTCGATGTCACGGCCACAGGTAAGTACCGGCCCTACGGGCCTGCCAAACAGGCAAGTACCCTTGCGGGTCACACACACTCATACCGACAAGCACTCAGACAGGCACGCAGGTCAACAAGCACGCACACATACAGACTTAGAAAACTCAGCAGAATGCGGGAATATCAGCAAGGCATACATTCCATCGGCAGAACTTCAGAAATCAGCAGTGTTCTCAGTCTGTGTTATGGCGGGTCATTACTCGGCTATAAAAAGACATCAGCTAACCTAGTGCAAAGATTTTGGTGGCCGTCTATGATGCAAGATGCGAAGAAGTGTGTTAAAACTTGCCAGGTTTGCCAACGGGACAAGACTAATGCTCCGCTTGGGCTTATCAAGCCCTTGCCTATTCCTGACGGTCGTGGGCAAAGTGTGTCCATGGACTTCATGGATACTCTTGTGACCAGCAAGAACGGTAAAAGACACATCTTCGTCATAGTGGACCGATTTACCAAGTACGCTAGATTGATCGTCATGCCGAGAACAGCAAAAATTGTCTATGTTATCAAGCTGTTTATGGATAACTGGGTACGGGACTTTGGGTTAGTGACCGAGACGTCCGCTTTACCAGCGAACTGTTGCAGAGCACGGCTCAACAAATGTGCACCCGACTGCAAATGACATCAGGGAATCACCCTGAGTCAAATGGACAGGCGGAACAGATGAACCGAGTAGTGCAGCACTTGCTTCGGCATTACATCAAGCCTAGCCAGGATTACTACTCGTCGCCAGCCTGTACAACAATGCTGGGCACAGCACTACTGGCATGACTCCCAACCAATTGCATCTTGGTTGGAAGCCCAGATCCGCCCTTGATTTCCTACTGCCTGAGAATCAGTCAACTCCAGCACCTGGAAGCATAGTATTTGCTGTCAAGTACGAACAGATGCGACAGCAGGCCGTTGAACACATTAGGAAGTCTCAGGATGCTATGATTGCATCTGAGAACAAACACTGACGGCCTTCTAACTTTCAGGTAAGGGACAGAGTCTGGGTTAAATCATCTGAACTAGGTCAAGAGTTGGGAATTTCCCAAAAACTAATGCCGCAGTATTTTGGTCCCTGAGAGGTCATAGACATAGTGCGGGATCAGATAGATGGACCTTCCTACGTCATTCGCATCCCTGTTCACCTACGCACACATCCAGTCCTCCACGCCTCAAAGCTGGCACCTTTCGCAGAAACTGCACAGTTTCCCTCCAGACGATCAATGCTGCCCCCAACCATGGATGGCGAAGTCGACATCGACGACATTGTGGAGCAGCGGTGCCTAAACCTCCAGGCAGAGGCTGACCTCCAAAGCCAAGGATGCAATACCTTGTCAGATTTGGACACCGTATTGATCCCAGTGAAGATCGGTGGTTTACTAGAGAAGAACTCCAGCGAACAGAGCCCCAAGTGATTGCAGGCTACGAAAGAACACTCGAGGGAAAGTTGCCTGCAGATTAAGGGACTTCTCAGAGGACTATCAAAGTAGACGAGGAGGGAATGCGAGGATAAGGCTCCTCGGAAGGCCTAAGGGGGCCCATGATGCAAGTGTGCCCGCCCTAAGTGAAGGCGGGCCTAACAAATCACGAGAGGTCAATGCTGTCAATGTCGTATTTGGGGTTTCAGGCAGTTGTGTCGCGTCAGTTGGTTGAGGGAACCCAGGACCCGAGCAACAAAGATTTTCCACGGCCTTCGAGGCCTTTTCTGAAGTGCAGGCCCTGGGCCACATTTGCAGCAGTATACACATACAGTTGGGGGGAGTAACTGAAGCAGGCCCAGCAGCATCAGCAAAGGCCCAGCAACCTGGGCCTAACGGAAGCTTCTGGGCGCAGGCCCAGCCCAGCCAGGTCGAAGGCCAGGCAGACTCTTTCCATATAGGAAAGAGCTTGCTGCCTGGAGGCTCATTCAGGCACTTGCCAGTTTGCGGCAGCGCTGCTGGAGCGAACGCTCGCGTGCTGCTGCTAGCGCTAGGGGCAAGGGGCAAGGTGCTGTGTACGTGCCGCCGTGTGGGAAGAAGGGTGCTGCTGAGGGCAGCTCCATAGCCCAGCTTCCATAGCTGGCTGGGCTTGGAGTGCAGCAAGGCGCAGGGGTGGTCTTCAGGTATACACTGTAGGAAGGGAAGACAAGGCGGACAGACAAGAGAGAGAGAGAGAGAGAGAGAGAGAGAGAGAGAGAGAGAGAGAGAGAGAGAGAGAGAGAGAGAGAGAGAGAGAGAGGAGGATGAGGATGAGGATGTGGGGGCTCATACCTGTTATTGGTGGTGGTCTGCATTTGGGCGACATCTTCATGTACTTCGGTGGCTGCTGACGTCAAAAGTTGCATTGTCAATTCATAGGCAGATAGTAGCTGTGTTGGGAAGTAGTCTGGGCGCCGAGCGCCAAGTGGGGGGAAGGGCCTGGACTCTGATGTTGGTGATGACGAGAGTAAGCTCTCATTGACATTCGGTTTCAGTGTTTTGATTTCCCATTGGTGTAACATTAGTGCATTACTGCTTTCTGGCACTATGAGACTTTCTGGCTTTCAATGTCATTGTGTAATCTGGATTCTGTCATCTCGCTATTGCTCATTTTCCTTGCAATTGCAGTGTGGACTTGTATTTTTTGGAATTAATTGAGTTTAACAGGGAATGCTAGTGCCACTTGTGTGCTTTACCAACCAAGCTCGGCCTCTGACTTAGATGCGTGTCTAGAAATCTGAATTGCCCATAAATATCAGTGCAGTTTTGGCTTGTATTCTTCGGGATTAATCCAATTTAATTGTCACAAAGTCAAGTGTGCTGATGTTTCTTTTTCTTTTGTTTTTGGTTTCCTGTGACCTTGTGCATGACAACATTGCAGTGCGAGCCGAATTGCCATGCAAAAATTCTGGAGGTTGATGGTCAGAACCGCATCATTCTCGTCGCAAGGAAAGACATATCCAGTGGTGAAGAGCTAACGTATGTACTATGTAGCTGTTCCCTTTTTGTTATTTTTCCACCTCCCCAGCCTCTTCAGAACCTGATCATCCTCCCTCGAACTATGGATCACCTCCTGTTTGACTTGGATGCAGAAGGTGCATTTTTCAAGAGATTGTGCCCGTATATCACAGTTTTATGAATGTCACATTAGGAAATAATAAAAAAGCAAACAACTCACACCAGCCATCTACAATGAACCAGGTGCCTGGAGCATCCTCAACTTCCACGAGCGGGATCAGCAGCTCTTCAAGAAATGTTGAGACAGTTGGAACAAGAGGCCCAAGAGAGAAGGGTCAAGGCGCAAACAGATAACAAACGAGCGCTGGATGAAGGGACGATAGAGGGGTGTCTCAAGAAGAGAAAGGCAATGAACTCAGATGAGAAGAAGCGGACAGAACAGACCCATGCTGAAGAGGGAAGAAAAATTACGGTTTCTTATTCCCTCGATGACGCTGTAGACAACAAAGCAAGCAAGGGCAGTGAGGGGACAGGGGGGTCAGCCGCGGACAGCGCGCGTCTGAGCCCCAACAGTCCTTCCCGCACGACGCGCGCGCACTGCATGCGGCGCACCTCCAAAAATGGGGGTCAAAAAAAAAAAAAAAAGTTGTGAGGGGCGGTAGTAGACCCAGCCCCCTGCTCGCATAAAATGAGAAACGACCATTCAAAATTTTTTTGGAGGCCGCGCGTTGGCCTGAAAGATTTTAGTAACCTGTAGTCCGGGTAACACTCTGTGTGACACTGTATGGTAGGGTTATTGCCGTCTGTATGGTAGGGTTCTTGCGGGCCAGATTCAATCATGATGAGGGTCGCGGTTTCTCAAAACGATCTCTTCTTATTACTTCTGTAGTAGAAAACGACGGAACTGACAGCCGTTTTTCCTGGATTTTTTTTTCAGAATTTCTTTGCACGAGTGAAGCCCGGCGCGTCCAACCTGTCAGAACCTCAACGGTAATGTTCATCAACGGGCTCGCTGCACAACTCTCGACATGCACAACAAGACATAGGGCCTCGCTGCACTACTCTCAACATGCACAAAAGACAAAAATATTGGCGGTGTATCTTTCCATATTCTAACGCAAGATTCACTCTTGTTTTGCAGATTTCCAGAGTAGTGCAGCGAGGCCCATATATGGCAATGTATCTTTCCATGTTCAAGCAGAGGATTCAGTCTCATTTGTTCAGAGATTCTCCCAAAAAAAAAAAAAAGTTTCCAGAGATACGTTACGTGCTTACCAGATTCATCGGCCCTTCGTTCTCCACCACCCAACGTATGAATGAATCTTCCGC